CCTGATTTTCAAAGTTTTGTTATAAATTCATTTTTTTATCCAATCTCTGCATGCTAGGGCTCTATAGATTCAGTGTGATGGACACTTCGATTTAAAAATAAGTTTGAAATTAGATCATGCATAGTTTGATAGTAAATAGCCTTTAATTGCCTATGGATTTTTGTGTATTGCTCTCCAAATAGGCATGATCTTAAGCACAAATTTGGAGAGGGAGTACTTGAGGATGCTCCCTATATCCTCCAATGTTCTTTACCCTATTTGATGCATATCTTTTCTTGCAGTTGAAACCCTAAAACACTATGTGACCTATAACTTTGATAATTCACTGCATTCAATTCTTATGGTACTAGGATAGTAAATTGACGTGGTTTGTTTGTATTTTTGTAAGGGTTATACACATTGATTTTCAAATCCATTTGAACATTGAGACACCAAAAAAAATAATTAAGGAATGTGTCTAGTCAACTTTAAAAAATCCTAGAAAATTCTATACACATCCATTAGGAGTGAAACTCAAACCCAATAAACTTAGTGACATGATACATTCTAGACATAAATTTGACATTAATTTAAATCATGTAATCCCTTAATCAAGCATATATAAAATAAATCCTTATTTAAGGGCTAATTTTAGTAAAAAAATGTAATAAATAATCTAAAATTCATAAAAATACAAATAAACCTTCAATCAACTCTTAGTCAGTCAGGCCTAGAATTAGAGAAAATTCAAATCTCATTCCAATTTTAATTAACATATAATTAATTTTTAATTAAATAATAATCAAATAAAATCATAAAAATTTAAATACTAATCAAATTAACTTCAAATTTCTCTCCGCTCGCCTCCCTCACTCCCTCAATCATGGCTTGTTGTTGAAGGAAATGAGGAAGGGGAGACCTGATTTAGAAATATCTCCAAGCTTCCATAAGCCTCCAAATTTTTTAGTCATGTCAAAATTGATTTAGAAACATCTCCAAAGCTTGGGAATCGATTTCCCCTCTCCATGATGAGTCCATAACACTCTACCAAAGTTTGGGAACTCTTTCAAACACACTTCTCTTCATGTGTGATATTTCGAGCCTCCCCAAGACTTTGAATATTCCATTACATAAATTATCGAACCTTAGGGCCAAAATCCTAAGTTTCCTCCTTCATTTGTTGAGACATAAAGTTAGCAAATAAATATTTCCCCTTTTCGTGTATTATACTTTAGAACACCTCAATGCTCTAAACACTTCATTGTATGAATCATATAATCTTATGATCAAAATCATAGATTCATTCAACCTCATGTGTTGAAACACAAAATCTACAGATAAAAAATCAACAGACACTCATCTATCTTCCCCTCTCATGCATGAATGATTTGGAGCACCCCAGCACTTAAGTATTTCATTGCATGAACCCAATAACCTTAAGGATTAAAATTCTAGGCTCATTTGACTCCATTTGTTCACACAAAATCAAAAACCAATCATTTCTTCTACTCTTATGTATGATAATTTGAATCCTCCAAAGGTTCCAAACAACATCATTACATGAGTCTTTGTATTTTAGAAATAAATCCTCATTCAACTTTCCTTTATTTGTTGAGATGCAAAATCAACAAACATTCATTTATCTCTCTTTGAACATCAAATGTTCAAAGAGTGTTCATGAGCTTACAACCTCCAAGTTGCGCATCATTCCCCCGATTTACCTAACACAAATTTGGAAAATATCAAGTTTCATTAAACACAAAATTCGATGAATCACTCTTCAACCTACAACCCTTAAGTTGCACATCACTTCCTGCATATACCTAATATATGAGTTTGGTAAATGATCGTGTATTATTGAATACAAAGTTCAATGATTTTTCCTCCCATATGCAACCCACAAGTTATATATTCATTTCTCTCTTTCTACAACTTAAATGTTAGAGGAAAATCTTTTCATTCTTTTAACCTAAATTAGGATAGTGTACATCTTTCTTTAAATATTAAATGTTAAAAAAACATTCAAGAATTTACAACTCCTAAGTTGCATTTTCTTCATTTCTTTCCTTCAACCCAAGCTCGAAGAATGAAGTCCCTTTTTTGAGAACCTAAAGTTTCAAAGAAATTCATGGTGGCTTGTAGTCTAAATCTACATGTCTCCTCCTTACATTTGTCCAACACAAATTGGGTAGATAATCACCCCTATTTGAACACCAAATGTTCAAAGAGCTTCCTCCAACTTGCAACCTCTAATTTGCATTTTCTTCATCATCTCCTACAAGCTAATATTGTAGGAAAACATTCAAATTTTCCTTCATTTGCCTAACAAATTTGGCAAATGAATAAATTCTTTTGAATACCAAATGTTCAAAGAATATTCATGAATTTGCAACTTTCAAGTTGTATTTTCTCCTCCTCTCATTTTTCCAATGAGTTGGAAGAATGATTCCTCCTCTTTGAACATCAAAAGTTCAAAGTCCCCTCCTCAATTTGCAATCTACAAGTTGCACTTTGCTTTTTTACTCCTACAACTCAAGAGTTGTAGGGAACGTCTTCATTCTTGAATGAATGAACATATTTCTTTAAACATCACAAAGTTCAAAGAAATTTCATGTGATTTGTAATCCACACTTATTCTACCTAATCTAACTTATGTTGATGATTACATCTCATTGAAGAGAAAATGTAATGATCCATTCTTAGTTTGCATACCTCCAAGTTGCATACTATAAATCTCTATCATACAACTTAAAAGTTGTAGGAAATCCCGCCTCATTTACATAACTCAAGTTAGGTAACTGAACATCTCCCCTTGAATATCTAAAAGTTCAAGGAAAAAACCTTGTGATTTGAAATTCAAATTCATATATCACCTTCATTCTCCCAACCCAAGTTGGAAGAATGAACCCTCTTCTTCGGACATCTAAAAGTTCAAAGGAAATTCATCATGACTTGCAACCTATATCTACATGTCATCCTTTCTTGTTTTCCTTACCAAATTAGGCAAATCATTTTGCATTATTGAACACAAATCCAAAAGCTAAGGAGAATCCTATAACATCTAGCCCAAAAGTTACATATTGGACATATCACTCTTAGACCCAAACTCTAAGTGTCATTTCACTCAACATAACATCGACTCATGACATTTAAAATACATAACTTTTAGATGTCCCGTATGAGTCACTCTCTATTGAAATTCATCTTATCAAATTAGGTGAATTTCACAAAGTCATAAGCAGAACTCTGAGGCATGCTCTTCTTACACAATTAGGTGAGAATTCATCTCTTATCCAAACACTAAGAGAACTTTAAAATTTCTTAAAAATCACATGCATTGAGACCATATTTTATGGTTTTAAAAAGCGTTTATGTATGTTTAGCTAGTAAATATTTTGACATAGAGCAATAAATCTAGAGGTCGGGATGACTATGCCTCAAGTGAGTTGTAGTTTATAAATCCATTTGCACTCCGTTAGACTTAGGTTCGAGAAACTAGCCCGCATTAGTCCTCACTTTAACTCTAAGATATAAGGTAGATGTTGAGTTCAATCACTTCATAAGCCGCAATATTCTAAATTAAAATGATAACTTAAATAAAATTTGATTCTAAAATTTAGAATCAAACATATGATAATCTAAGCAACTCTAAACTTTCTCAAAATCAAGTGTTCCTACTTCCCTCCTTTGGCTCTCATTCCAAATATCTAATTAAAGTTGATCCATTCATCTTTGAAATTTCTAAAGAGAAAATCTATAATCAAGAGTTTCATAAATTTCAAAATGAAGATCATTAGCAAATATTTTGATAATTTTTAAAAGAAAGAAAAGTACTAGTGTAATCAAAAATATTCTCAAGTACCAAATGCTTGAGATATAATTAATCTTAAGGGTTCACCCCTATAGGCATTTATATTTCAAAATAAAATAAACCTCATTTAATCAAATATTATATGTGAAAAAAAAAATCTCTATTTAAAATTCAAATTGTAAATTTTATTATTAAATCCACTGCAAAATAATATTGTTGTCCTTTGGAATAATAAATTATTCTCTATGTCGTGCTCGATCACAAAATATGCAATCCGTTGAGGATGATAAAACTTCTCCAACGCCAATTAGTCTAATGTTTATCTTTCAACAAAATTTTAGGCTATTCTCCTGGTATGTTAAGGTAGTTAGGTTAAGCTACCATCACCTCTAAAGGGAAAATTATTATGGCCATCTTCATTAATCTCACCATCCTTTCAGCATCGCCTCATCCATCCTCCCAAGATGGACAAATCATATTTTGTTGCTAAATCAAGGATACATAATACCCTATTTGTCTCATATTAATGTCTTCTAAAAGCCAAAGGAATGCAACTACTGAAGTTATTTTGATTAGAATAAATTCAATTATTTTATCATTTATGGCTTTCCACATTAAAACGAAATCATGTTTCCACACCTAATTACAAGTGCCATCATTCGAAGCTAAGACAATCAAAGATTTCTTTTGGGTAACTTTCTTATTACTTTATAAAGCGATTTTCTAGTACAAAAAGTTATTTAACTAGAAATTTTTATATTAGAAAACTGTTTTAAAAAACAATAAGAAAGTCATCCCAAACAAAACCTAAATATGTATCAAAGTTATATTTGGCTTTTAGCATGCAACAATTCATTAATTCTCCCCTTTCAATATCAGTATGGATGACTGGACCGATAGTATATAAGTGCCAAATAACAGCATGACATTTCTTACCTTTAACACAAAGACTTGGAGTAGTGTCATCTTGAAATTTTCATTTATAAGTTCATTTGCTTTTTGAACCAAAAAAATTTGTAATAGAAATATATTTTTAAAAATAATAAAAAAAAAAAAATCATCCCAAACGATGCCTAAATATATATCACTTTTATATTTGACTTTTAGCATGCAACAATTCATTAATTCTCCCCTTTCCAATATCATGACTGGACCGATAGTAGATAAGTGTCAATTATCAGCATGACATTTCTTACCCTTAACACAAAGATTTGGGATAGCAGCATCTTGATATTTTCATTTATAAGCCCATTTGCTTACACCCATCTAATTCATGATTGATTTACTGATTTTTAACATTTACGCTCCCAATCTATCAGTGGCAATATATGGCTTCTGTAGGCTATCTTTAGTTTATGTTTACCATAGAAAGCAATCCAAACAAGGCCTGTCCCTATCGATTGGGGTCGGAAGGACACCACGAGTGATGAGAGTTCTTAATGGACTACTGCTATCAGAACATACCAGAGCATAATTAGTAAGTTTCCAGCAGACATCATCTTCATTGTGAGAGGCAGATTTGCTGGATGAGGGAGGGGCCAAAGATAAATCTTGTCCAAGGAAGCTAGGTGCAGAAGCTTCCAAGCATCCATCCTACAGGAAAAATCATAAGGTAAGTCTAAGATTTAAACTATTTCTTTGATGCAAAGGAATTTGAGAAGATTTTTAAACACTGCAGTTTGAGAATAGAAGATTTTTAAACACTGCAGTTTGAGAATAGAAGGGATGGCACTGCTGGAAGGATTTACTTCTAATAGTCTGATTTGAATTCCTTTAGCACTGCTGGAAGTATTTACTCCTAAAGAAACCACGTGCAAAATGTTCATGTTCTTAGGAGTGGTGGTGTCACGGACAACATTGGAAAATAACTCGGAAGTTTTTTTGTGCATCACCCTGGCAGTAGCCAGATATTGTAACAAACTGCCTTACCGCCCATCAACTCTCTCTCCCAGTGCGGCCGACCAGCCAATCCGACATTTGCTTCAGAAATTCCCAACTATTCTCGAGACATTGTTTGGACACGTTATCTTAAGCGCACCAGCAGCATGATAGAACGAACGCCTCAATCCGAGATCTTAATGTCATTTGGAAACTATATCCGCCATAAATAGACGACCTATTGTGAATACTCATTTAGCAGTGCTACCTGAATACAGATATAAACAAAACAAAACAAAAAAACTTCTGAATTTGTTTTTACATCGCACAATGGTATTTGCTAGATATTAAAAACACATACAGAGCCATATTAATGTCACCAAAATGGCCATCAACACAATTTTATTCGTGCATTAAATAAAACGGATGTGCATGCAGAGACGCAAACTCCTCGCATAAGAACCCCGATGCACAAGGAAATATAGCTACTGGATATGAAAGCGACAAGGACCCTTCCTAAGCAACTCCTAGCATGGCCTGATAACTATGTCGAAATGCCTGGGAAGCACTTCCTATCTAAAGCCTGCCATTTTGGTGGACAATCTTGCTCCAGTTTACAATACGCCCGATGGTCTTGTTTCATGAAACAAGATAGAATCTAGAATTCTGATCTTTACCTATATTTCCATTTTCACAAGGGCATTCGATGGTGGCTCCATCATGGTTGGCAGATACTGCAACCAATCTTTCGCACAGAAAAGGGCCTCAACAATATCTGGGCGCAAGGAGCTCCTGTACTCATCAAGAACCCGACTTCCAGTTCCTGCGCCAAATAAAGAGCCACCAGCACCACTAACCATGGACATTGGAATGGCCAAGACATCACGTGCCATTTTGGACAGTGTAGGATACTTCATATTATTAAGCTTCCACCAGTTTAGGATGTCGAACTCCTGAATTCTTGGAACTAGAGATTCTTCTAGATACTGATCCAGCTCCGACTTTGTACTCTGGGTAGTTGATATTTCAGATATATAAATGTCGAAGTCATGAAGTCCATCCACGACTGAAAGTGGAGTGGTCAGAGAATTCCCCTCATTTCCATTCATGCTAGCATTGGCTTCTCCCAACTCCACATAAGCTGGAGTCAGCGGAAGAGGCTGTGCAACATACTCGACATAGAGGTCATGAATGCTGTCATTGACCACCTTGACATACCTAGCAGCATCTTCCCCATAGATTTTTGAGAAGCTGAACTCAACAAGCTTCAACTTGAACCGAGGGTCCATAACTACTGCTACTGCCAGGACAAGGCTGCAATCTCTCCAATATTTGTCAAACTTCTCATGCATGTCTTTTGCAACACTACTTACTACAGCATCATCGCAAGCTACAGCATGAGCCAACTCAAGCTGGATCTTCCATGCTTCATGGAAGAATATGTTTGAAGTTGGATCGGGTGCAGCCAAGATAATACTTGCAGAGTCAAAAAGAAGCTTTAGGTAAGAGCAAACTACTTCAACCTTTTTCCAGTCATCAGGTGATGGTGCTTCATTATAATTATCATCACAGGTCTCCAGCACAGTAAATGCTTGTTTGTATTCCAGAGCTGCCAAAAGCATGTGGTACGTTGTGTTCCACTGCGTTGTAATATCAAGGCTGAGGCTCTTTGTGCTTGGGATCTCAAGCTGAAGAGAAATTTCAGCAAACTTTTCCTCACGCATTGGAGAGGCTTTGACAAACTTCACACTTTCACGGATGTTGTAGACTATCCCATGAATAGAAGCTATGACATCCTGAGCAACTACGTTGAGGATATTGGCGTAGCAACGCACAACAAATAGCTGCCCTTTAAGCATGAGTGTGTTCTTGTTGGAAAGATGATCTCTGAGATTTGCACTGTATATGTCATGCGAGGAGCAATTATTGTCCAAAGTAATAGTGAACAACTTGTCCTTCAAGTTCCATTCTGAAAGGCTAATACCAATTACTTCACTCAATGCATTTTCAGAATGTGGAGAAGATACCATCATGAAGTTTAGCATTCTTTTATGCAACTTCCAATCACTGTCAATGAACTGTCCATTAAGGCAAACATATCCAAGAGTCTGACTGGTCGTCCACAACTCTATAGTAAGGCTAATCCTTCCAAGCATAGTCCCAAATACTTGCAAGAGATAATGTCTTTCTTTCTGATAAACTGCCATGATTTCTGCTTCAATGGCTTCACAAGTTAGCATCTTGAAGCGTGGCTGAAGACTTTGAGCAAAGGCCACAAAAGACAGGTGCTCAACCATGTGGAGAGGAAGCTCGTGGAGAATGATCATCTTTGCAAGATTTTCATTGCAAATGTCCTGATCAAATTGGGCATTCAGATAACTAGATGTTCTATAGCGCCTTTTAGGAGGATCTGGGCTTTCCCCATCAGTCTTTAAGCCTGAAGTGAGTGCGAGCTGTTTCCTGTCCTGCGACTTAATTTTAGGACAAGATCCGAGTGCAATATGCCTTTTGAGATGGCTTGTTCCAGCAATCTTTGAACCAGTGCTGTACGCAAAGGTTTGCTTGCAAAGTTTACAGCAAGCCCTTGTACATCCTCCAGCCACAGCTTCAACGGTGAAGTGCTCCCATACCATTGACTTTCTTTTCCTGCGCCTTGTGGGCTGTGGCGTTGTTTCTATTTCTGCATTTAGCTGCTGTTCTTCAGTGTCGCTGGCTCCACCCATATTCTATGAAGAACAAATAGTTGCACAAGCTGAAGAGAATATCAGAATTAAAAACATTACCATCACATATCATGAACTCAAAAGGTTATCTCCCTTGCCTGTAGCTAATAAACTATGCTTGGGATGAAAATTGGAAGATAAATTAACTTTTTAGCTGTCCATACTGCCACACGAAAAAATGATAACAAGTGTAAAACAAAGCAAATAAAATAGAGAGAAGTAGAAGTATTATGTATCTACCTTAGGAATATTTTGAATGCCGAGTAAGTCAAATATAGAGGTTTTAAAAATTGAGATATGATTGGAAGAAAAATAAATATGAGATAATTTGTAGAGAAATTTGTAATCTGAATTAGCTCAAATTCATAGAATTCGGAATAAATTGCATCATATGTGACCTTGAACACACCCTTGAAGCTCTGCATGCACGCAACCATTGCACACCCTAAATACACGTAACCATTGGGAATGCTCTGCTCACACGCAAAACAACCAGGCCTTCTACTCGCATCATAACCACGAAAAACCTCTGCCAACCCCTCCGCACAGTGACCTCCACGCAACTCCCTGCATGAAAAAAAAAACATTTCTGCCCGAATCAGATTTTGCACACCTCCCTATGTCAAAGACATCCTAATGCGACCTCCCTGCATGAATCTATACCATCCCTCTCATGCCCTACGTACATTTTTTTGTTTTCAAATTATTTTTTATTAGTTTCGACAAAAAAACAAGAAAGTGATCTCCTGAATTCCAACTACACTTAGTTTACCTTAACCACATCTAAAACTCTTAGAATTTTTATTGGAAAATACTCAATTACATGCTCGGTACCGCTCGGTATCTTTCCATACAAATAATTTACGAACTTTAAAAACAAGCAGAATTTCAAAATTACTCTTACAATAAAATTTTGTTCCAGGGGAGCTGCCCCCACAAACCCTCGCAAGGGCACTGCCCCTTGACCCCGCGACCTGACCGGGCAGGTCGAACCCTGCCAGGGGGCAGCACCCCCTTGGACCCCCGACAGACCGGTATATTGTTGTATTCATGTTGTCCTATTATTGATTTTCTATGTTGATTATTTAATATTTCTATAAACTATTAGCATGACTAGTGGCACAAGAAGAAAAGATCCTGCATGGAAATATGGAACTGAAGTTGAAGTGTCGCGAAAGTGCAAAGAAGGGATATGTTTACATAAAATGTAATTTATGTGAGAAACGCATAACTGGTGGCGTCAAGAGGTTGAAGGATCATCTAGCTTGCACTCATGTCAATGTGGGACCATGTGCAAAAGTACCTGATGAGGTGAAAAATGAATGTACATATTATTTAAAAAAGTTTGCCACCACAAAGGAGGTCACACAAAGAAATATGGAAGAGATGATAGGAAACTCTTCTTACTATGGATCATAGTATGAAGGTTCCAGTACTGGAAGCCATCTAATTTCTTCTAACCGAGGCAGTCAGGGGCCCATGGATAGATTTATGATAAATATTGATAACAAGGAAAACATAAATACTCGGGATATTCAGCCTCCTACAGCTACAAAAGAACTCAGGAACAGAGTTTGTTTGGATATCGCCAGATTTATCTATGAAAATGGGATTCCATTTAATGTTGTTAGGAGTCCATCATGGATCAATATGTTACGATCTGTTGGAAGCTATGGAAGAGGACTACAACTTCCAAGCATGTATAAGCTGAGGACTTAGATGCTGAATGAGGAGGTTAAGACAATTTCAAAAATGGTGGATGATGTTAAGAAGACTTGAATTGAGACATGAGTGATAATAATATCAGATGTTTGGTCAGATATTCGACATAGAAGTATTATTAATTTCTTGGTCAACAACCCATATGGAACAGTTTTTTCTCAAATCAGTAGATGCTTCAAGCTTTGTAAATGATGCACAATTATTGTTTGAAATGTTGGATGAAATTGTGGAGAAAGTGGGAGATGCCTTAGTAGTACAGGTTGTTACTGATAATGCAAGTGCATACAAAGCTGCAGGGAGAATGTTAATGGAGAAGAGGCCTCACCGTTACTGGACTCCTTGTGCTGCACATTGTATTGACTTGATGCTTGAGATGTTGTGACAGTTGCCTCAACATAAATCAGCCATATTGAATGTCAAATTCGTTAGTAAGTTTATATACAATCATTCTTGGGTACTCAGCTTGATGAGAAAATTCACTGACAAGGAAATTATTAGACCTGTTGTTACAAGATTTGCTACTACATATTTAACATTGCATAGATTCAAGGAGTTAAGACAACATTTGGAATCAATGTTTGCTTCTGAAGAGTGGAATAAAAGTTCATGGGCCAAAAAAAAGAATGAAAACAGGTTAAAAAGACTGTTATGAAAGACGATTCATTTTGGTGCAGTACAAATTATGCTTTGAAGACAACAGGACCATTAGTAAAGGTGCTTAGAATGATTGATGGTGAGAGGGCCCCGGCTATGGGATTTATTTATGAAGCAATGAATAGGGCTAAATAAGATATTGCAAAAGAATTGGGAGGTCAAGAAAGTGCCTACAAAGAAATATGGGATATTATAGATAAAAAGTGAGATTGACAATTACACCAACACTTATATGCTGCTGCGTACTATTTAGACCCCCAATTTCATTATGATAAGGATTTTCATGTTGACAAAGAGGTGAAAACTGATTTGTATGCATGTATGGACAGACTCATTTCTGAAGAAGACTACCTCAAAATGAATGATCAACTTGAGAATTTTCATTTGAAAAATGGAATGTTTGAATTTAGAGCAGCACAAGCATGCTACAAAACACGATCTTCTGGTATGTTTATAGTTTGTGTATTTATAATTTTAATGTTAATATTTATATTCAAGTCTTCTACTTCAACCAATATTCATAAAATACTATATTTGTCTTCATGTAGAACGTTGGTAGGCTCAGTTTGGAGATGATGCTCCTGAATTGAAAGCTTTTGCAGTTAAAGTTCTTAGCCTAACGTGTTCGGCTTCTGCATGCAAGCGTAATTGGAGCATCTTCAATCAAATTCATACAAAGAGAATAAATCGATTGGCGGCAGATCGAATGAACATACTAGTTTATGTTATGTTTAACAAAAAACTAAAAGATAGACATCTCAAATTGCTGAATCAAGAAAATATTGAGAATAAAATTGACCCTTTGCTTGTTGATGAGTGAGTTACAATCTGATGATGAATGGGTTACTCCTAAGAATGCTGATGTTTCTGAAGTTGAAGCAGAAAGAAACTCATGTCAATGAAGAAGACAATGAAACAACTACCCAAGTATATAAAAGAAAGAAACAAAGTAAGATTGGAGCTTAAAAAAAAATTCAAATGTATTTGTTAAATATAATGAATTATTTTATATGCTACTATTATTTCATTTTAGAGCTAATGAAATATTAACTGATATAGGAGATAAAAAAAAAATATTATAGATGAAGAAAAGTTTGAGGATGACTTTGACATTAATTATGAAGATTCTTCTAAGAAAATCAAAGTGATGATGAGCCAGCTTTGGGTCTTGATCCTAAGGAGAATTTTTATTTTTAAGTGAGTTTATTTTAAATCTTGTATTCCACTAATATTATCCTAAAACAAATCTTCAAATTAATAGTTGACATAATATTCTGTTATTTTTTGTCATTATTTATAATTTTAAATTAACTTATTTTAATCTTTTTGAGGCTTACGCCTCGCCTTGCTTAGAAAAAACGCCT